TTTTTGCTGCTTTCTCTTTTACCTTTGCTTATAGTCCGGCATTTCCATTTTGTTACACATGGCTGTCATCGCGACATCGACCCTGATTCTTATCCGTTTTATTATTTTACGGCTTCGAATGCCAGCACTCATTTTTACCATTATCGTTGCAATTTGAAATTCAAGTTGCCAGTACATCGTTTATGTTTACCACTACTACTACGACGATTACTACGACTACTGCAGCTTGTTCTTCTTCTACTGCTGCTACTAGTACTGGTACGGGTACTAGTTGACATACTCGTACTATCATTAATTTTGTTACTATTACCGCTACTACCGCTATCATGTCTACGGTTCCGAATGCAACTCGTACTACTAATCGCATCATTGTTCCGAGTACCCCCAATACCACGTCTACGTAATATCCCTTGGTGCTTATTGGAGATTATGTAGGACCCCCTTTAGGGCATTACTTACTGCATGCTTCGTTCTTGCGGCTTCAGTTTGTATTCTTATTGTTGCTACCGCTGTTCTTTAGGACCACCACTACTTTTGCTAGTGCTGCTAAGACCGCCAGTGAAAGTACTTTACATATTTTTATTATTAGTATTGCTGCTGCTGCTACTAGTACTACTACTAGTGCTGCTACCATACTACTACTACTACTACTACTACTACCACTACCACTACCACTACCACTACTACTACTACTACTACTACTACTACTACTACTACTACTACTACTACTACTACTACTACTACTACTACTACTACACTACTACTATTACTACTACTACTACTAATACTACTACTACTACTGCTGCTGCTACTACTACTACTACCCCTACTACTACTACTACTACTACTACTGCTACTGCTGCTGCTGCTGCTGCTACTGCTACTGCTGCTGAAGCTGTTCCTGCCACTAGTACTGTTACCACCTACTACTACTGATTGTACTACTGCCACTATTAATACTCCCACCACTACTACTACTACTACTACCACTAGTAGTAGTAGTAGTAGTAGTACTACTACTACTTCTACTTTTACCACCACTACTACTACTACTACTACTACTACTTCTACTACTACTACTACTACGACCACTGCTACTAATACTAACGTTATCATTACTATTACAACTATTTCTACTACTATCACCACTACTACTACTAGTACTGCCACTACAACTACAACTAATACTACCACTACTGCTACTGTGGCCATCAACGACTTCCTAAGGTAACCAGTACTGCGACAACCATTATCCTTATTTCTATTACTACCGCTGCTACTACTATTGCTACTACTATTAATAACCTTAATATTTTTACTAATGCGAACGGTTCTATTCTTACGACTGGTAGTTCGATTGTTATTCGGGTACTTGCGCTTTTGTTCGTCCTCTTTGCTCCGACGCTTCGCCGTCTCATTCCATGGGGTAATTTCCTTCGCAACCAGAAGTGTGAGGTAGCGCTTCCCCATCCAGGGTGAGCCACTTTACAACCAACATGCGTCCGGCAACGAAGTGCGTTTCTTATGTGGGACGACGGATATCTGGAGTTAGATCAAAATCCGGTTCATTGATTTCATGTGCGTGGTTGGAAAGTGCTCTTCCTGGTCGTATTGTGACCTTGCGTGGGAACTTTTGCTGCTTGTAAAGTGGCCCTTCTGGTTGTACAGAGCCGTTCTGTTTTGCAAAAGTCGTGTAGGCCCTTTGGGGCCGTTTTGTGGCAATCTTGGGGGCCTCGTGGGCCGTGTTGGAACGTAGGAAATCCAAAGAGGCGCGAAAGGCCAGAAACCTTCAAACATCCATGGAAATATACGATGTTTTCCCCCTTGGGGCCCTCTCGAGACGCATCTGAGACCACCCTTGGGACGTCTTCGGGGCGTCTTGGGCCGTGTTGGGCCCATTTTAGGTGTATGGGGCATTCTTTGCCTTTTTGGACGCATCTTCGGCGCTGTTGGGCGCATTTCGAGCTCATGTTTGGCAGGCTGCGCCACTGGAGGACGCGCGCCACATGGCCGGGGAATCCCGGGGAATCTGGGGAAATCGCCGAAAATCACTGGCAATCCCCGAGAATTCCTGGGATCCCCTAGAAATTTTTATGAAAGCGTGGCTTGGGCCCTTAACGCTTTTGAAAACCGTACAAATTTGAATTTTTCAGCGCTGCGTGACCACACATTATTGTTTTTAGTACAACTACAAGGCCTACTACTGCTACTAGCACTGCTATTTCTGCCAGTAGCAATGGCAGCAGTAGTCGTAACACTCCTATTTGAAGTCGTATTACTACTACTAATACTACAGCTACTACTATTGCTACTACTACTACTACTACTACTACTACTACTACTGCTACTGCTACTACTACTACTACTACTACTACTACTATTGCTACTACTACTACTACTACTACTACTACTACTACTACTAGTACTCCTACGAGCACTGCTACTACTATTACTACTACCATTACAATTCTTATCACTACTACTACTACTACTACTACTACTACTACTATTGCTACTACTACTACTACTACTACTAAAATTACCGTTACTACTACCACCACTACTACTACTACTACTACTACTACTACCAGTACTCCTACTACTACTACTACTACTAATACAACAGCTACTACTATTGCTACTACTACTACTACTACTGCTACTACCACTACTACTACTACTACTACTACTCCACTCCTTCTTCTCCTGCCAAACGTACTACTGCTACTACCACTGCTGCTGCGACTAGTCCTTTTACCATTACTACTCAATTGCTAGTTCCTTCGGTCGTACTACTAGTTCTATTTCTAATACTATCGCTACTACTACTGCTACTACCACTACTATTACTACTACCGCTACTACTTCTACTACTACTACTACCACTACTACTAATACTACTATTACTAGTACCACGACCACTACTACAACTACTACAACTACAACTACCATTTCTACAACTACTAGTACTACTACTACTACTACTACTACTACTACCTCTACTACTACTACTACTACTACTACTAGTACTACTACTACTACGACTACGACTACGACTACGGCTACTATTACTAAAACTACTACTACTACTACTGCTGCTGCTGTTACTATTCCTACTACTGCAACTACTACCGCTACTAGTTGTGGTAGTACCATTTCTTCTATCACCACTACTACTACTACTACTACTACTACGACTTCTACTACTACTACTACTACTACTACGACTACTACTACTACTGCTACTACTACTAGTACTACTACTACTACCAATACCACTACTGTTACTACTACTACTGCTACTACTACTACTTCTACGACTACTGCTGCTGCTGCTGTGCTACTTCTAGTGCTACTGCTACTTCTAGTACTACTACTACTACTACTACTACTACCGCTACTACTGCTACTACTACTACTACTAGTACTACTACTATTCCTACGACGACTTATATTACATTTACGTACTATCATCACAACAACTTCGACTGCATTTTTTCCACTCCTTCTTCTCCTGCCAAACGTACTACTGCTACTACCACTGCTGCTGCGACTAGTCCTTTTACCATTACTACTCAATTGCTAGTTCCACCGGTCGTACTACTAGTTTTATTTCTATTACTATCGCTACTACTACTGCTACTACTACTACTATTACTACTACCGCTACTACTACTACTACTACCACTACTACTAATACTACTATTACTAGTACTACGACCACTACTACAACTACTACAACTACAACTACTATTTCTACAACTACTACTACTACTACTACTACTACTACTACCTCTACTACTACTACTACTACTACTAGTACTACTACTACTATTACTACTACTACTACTACTACTACTACTACTACTACTACTACTACTACTACTACGACTACGACTACGACTACGGCTACTAATACTAAAACTACTACTACTACTATTGCTGCTGCTGTTACTACTACTACTACTGCAACTACTACCGCTACTAGTTGTGATAGTACCATTTTTTCTATCACCACTACTACTACTACTACTACTACTACTACTACTACTACTACTACTACTACTACTACTACTACTACTACCACTTCTACTACTATTACTGCTACTCTTACGCCGATGGCGATGACGATGACGATGACGATGACGAGGGTAGTGACGATGAGGATGACGATGATGATGGCGGGGCTGATGATGCTGATAATGCTGATGATGGTGAGCTGATGATGATGACGGTAACGGTGGTGGTGACGACGATGCTGATGTTGCTGATTGTGATCACGATGATGATGACGACGATGACGACGATGTCACGAGGACGATTACGATGATGGTGCGGCGATGGTGATGATGTTGATGATGGCGCTGATGATGATGTTGCTGATGCTGTCGATAATGAAGCTTTTGGTAATGATGAACCATGGTGGTGATTCTGATGGCGTGGTGGCGATTATGATGATTATGATGGTGATTCTGGTGATGGTGATTTTGATGCTGATGATGTTGTTTAGGATGATGATGATGATGCGGATTGTTATAATTATGAGTATGGGTAGTGTGTATGAAAACGAGTATGTGTATGCTATGGATATGAATATGAGTATTAGTATGAGTATGAGTAGGCGTAGGAGTATGAGTATGAACATGAGTATGAGTATGAGTATGGGTATGATGATGACGCTGATTTGTGGGCTATTCAACCACCGCGATGATGAGGATGATGGTGGTGATGTTGCTGCTGCTGCTGCTGATGATGATGATGATGATGATTGTTGTGGCGATGCTGATGATGCTAGAGATGGTTCCGCTGATAATGCTGATGATGGTGGCTTTGATCATGATGGTAGTGGTGATGATGATGAATATGATGTTTCGGCTATTCAACCTGTAAGATCCAGGCGGTGGACGAGGCGAGGAGGAGGAGGAGGAGGAGGAGGAGGGGGATTAATTCGCGGATGACGAAGAGGAGGGAAGGGGGGGAAGGTGTAGGTGGAAGGTGAGCAGGAAGAGGACCCGAGCCGGAACCGTCCTGTTTCTGCTGCCCGACGTCGACGTGCACGCCAGGGTGGCCCAGGGTCTCCAAAACGGATCCGTCCCCGCCTAATCTACGCCCGCCCCACTAGCTTCTGCTCACTTCCCCCTCCTTGCCCACATCTCCTGTGTCTTGTATTCTTTTCTCTTCTTGTCGTTTCTCCTCTCTTCTCTTCTCTTCTCTTCTCGTCGTTCTTCTTCTCTTCTCTTCTCTTCTCATCTCGTCTGTTCTCGTCCCTTCTCGTCTCGTCTCGTCTCGCCTCGCCTCTTCTCGTCTCGTTTATGTTTGTTGTAGTTTTTTTGTGTGATACCTTAAGTTTCTTATCTTCTCGTCTGTTTTCTTCTCTTCTCTTCTCTTCTCTTCTGATATCTTCTCTTATCGTCTCGTCTCGTCTCGTTTCTTTTCTTCTCTTCTCCTCTTTTCTTTTCTCTTCTCTTCTCTCCTTTCCTCCCCTCTCCTCCCCTCTCCTCTTCTTTTCTCGTCTCTCCTCTTCTTTTCTCGTCTCTTCTCTTCCCTTCTCTTCTCTCCTCTCCTCTCCTTTTTTTTTCGTCGTCTCTCCTTTTCTTTTCTCGTCTCTTGTCTCCTCTCCTCTCCTCTCCTCTTCTCTTCTGTTCTCTCCTCTCCTCTCCTCCCCTCCCCTCTCCACCCCTCTCCTCTTCTCTTCTCTTCTCTTCCCTTCTCCTCTCTTCCATCCTCTTCTTTTCTTCTCTCCTCTCCTCTCCTCTCCCTCCCTCTCCTCTTTGTTCGTCGTCTCTCCTCTTCTTTTCTCGTCAATTCTCTCCTCTCCTCTTCTCTTCTCTTCTCACCTCTCCTCTCCTCTCCTTTCCTCTCCTCTCCTCTCCTCTTCTCTTCTCTTCTCTTTTCTTCTCTTCTCTTCTCTTCCTTCCTTTTCTCTCCTCTTCTCTTCTCTTTTCTCCTCTCCTCTTCTCTTCTCTTTTCTCCTCTCCTCTCCTCTTCTCTTCTCTTCTCTTCTCTTCTCTTCTCTTCTCTTCTCTTCTCTTCTCTTCTCTTCTCTTCTCTCCTCTTCTTTTCTCTGCTCTCCTCTCCTCTTCTCTTCTCTTCTCTCCTACCCTCTCCTGTTTTTTACCTAACAGCGAAGACTGATAGGTTTCTAGTGGGCTAAAAACAGCTCACAGATCACTCCACAGGGGGGTCCGGGCAGGTGTTGGGAGTTGCCGGGCGGGTTGAGTCCACCTCGTTTTTCACCAACAGTCACACACTTCGTGCTCTTCGAGTTCCCAGAACTCCATTCCCAGGCTCATTCTGAATAACCGGATGCAACAGTCACACACTTCGTGCTCTTCGAGATCCCAGAACGCCATTCCCGGGCCACCTTTAGAATAACCGGATGCAACAGTCACACACTTCGTGCTCTTCGAGTTCCCAGAACTCCATTCCCGGGCCACATTCTGGATGCCCGGAGCCAACTGTACCACTTCGTGCTCTTCGATTTCCCAGAACTCCATTCCCGGGCCACATTTTGAATGCCCGGAGCCAACTGTAGGCCACTTCGTGCTCTTCGAGTTCCCAGAACTCCATTCCCGGGCCACATTTTGAATGCCCGGAGCCAACTGTAGGCCACTTCGTGCTCTTCGAGTTCCCAGAACTCCATTCCCGGGCCACATTTTGAATGCCCGGAGCCAACTGTAGGCCACTTCGTGCTCTTCGACTTCCCAGATTCCTGGGCCACATTTTCAGCAGGGGCAAGAGCACGAGGACGAGCAGGAGCAGGACGAGGAGCAGGAGGAGCAGGAGAAGAAGGACGAGCAGGAGGAGGAGGAGGACGAGCAGGAGGAGGAGGACGACCAGGAGGAGGAGGACGACCAGGAAGAGGAGGAGGAGGAGGAGGAGGGGAGGGGGAGGGTACCAGGAGGAGGAGGGAGGAGGAGGAGGAGGAGGGAAGAGGAGGAGGAGGAGGAGGAGGACGAGGACGAGGAGGAGGAGGAGGAGGGGGGGGGAGAGTACCAGGAGGAGGAGAACGAGGACCACCAGGAGGAGGAGGAGGAGGAGGAGGAGGAGGAGGAGGAGGAGAGAACACCAGGAGGAGGAGGACGAGCAAGACGAGGAGGACGAGAACGAGGACGACCAGGAAGAGGAGGAGGAGGAGGAGGAGGGGAGGGGGAGGACTACCAGGAGGAGGAGGAGGAGGAGGAGGAGGAGGAAGAGGAGGAGGAGGACGAGGAGGAGGAGGAGGAGGAGGACGAGGAGGAGGAGGGGGGGGGAGAGCACCAGGAGGAGGAGAACGAGGACCACCAGGAGGAGGAGGAGGAGGAGGAGGAGGAGGAGGAGGAGGAGGAGAGACACCAGGAGGAGGAGGACGAGCAAGACGAGGAGGACGAGAACGAGGACGAGCAGGAGGAAGAGGAGGAGGAGGAGGAGGAGGAGGAGGAGGAGGAGGAGGAGCAGGAGAGGAGGAGGAGGAGGAGGAGGAGACTGCGACTGCCGTTGCCGCTGCGACTGTCATCGCGAATGCGACTACGACTGCGAGAACAGCAGAATTCGACAACTGGATTTTCATCTGAATCTTAAGGGGAATGCTTTCAGATATGCTTCTACACATCGCTGTTAGGTTGCTTTGCCGGGATAATTTTCTCTTCTCCTCTTCTTTTCTCGTCTCTTCTCTCCTCTCCTCTCCTCTTCTTTTCTCTTCTCTTCTCTTCTCTTCCCTTCTCCTCTATTATCTCCTCTTCTCTTCACTTCTCTTCTCTTTTATTTTCTTCTCTTCTCTTCTCTTATCTTCTCATATATCTTCTCTTCTCTTCTCTTCTCTTCTCTCTCTCTCTCTCTTCTCTTCTCTTCTCTTCTCTTCTCCTCTCTTCTCTTCTCTTCTCTTCTCTTCTCTTCTCTTTCTCTTTCTCTTCTCTTCTCTTCTCTTCTCTTCTCTTCTCTTCTCTTCTCTTCTCTTCTCTTCTCTTCTCTTCTCTTCTCTTCTCTTCTCTTCTCTTCTCTTCTCTTCTCTTCTCTTCTCTTCTCTTCTCTCTCTCTTCTCTCTCTCTTCTCTTCTCTTCTCTTCTCTTCTCTTCTCTTCTCTTCTCGTCTCTTCTCTTCTCTTCTCTTCTCTTCTCTTCTCTTCTCGTCTCGTCTCGTCTCGTCTCGTCTCTTCTCTTCTCTTCTCTTCTCTTCTCTTCTCTTCTCTTCTCTTCTCTTCTCTTCTCTTCTCTTCTCTTCTCTTCTCTTCTCTTCTTGTCTTCTCTTCTCTTCTCTGCCCCTCTCCTCTCCTCTCCTCTCTTCCTCTTCTCTTCTCTTCTCTTCTCTTCTCTCTCTTCTCTTCTCTTCTCTTCTCTTCTCTTCTCTTCTCTTCTCTTCTCTTCTCTTCTCTTCTCTTCTCTTCTCTTCTCTTTCTCTCTTCTTTCTCTTCCTCTTTCTTCTTCCTTCTCTTCTCTTCTCTTCCCGTCCTTCCCTTCCCTTCCCTTCCTTCCTTCCCTTTTCCCTTCCCTTCCCTTCCCTTCCCTTCCCTTCCCTTCCTCCCTTTTCCTTTCCTTTCCTTTCCGTTCCTTTCCATTCCTTCCCTCCCTTCCCTTCCCTTCCCCTCTTCCTTATCTTCTCTCTCTTTTCCTCTCCTCTTCCTCTTCCTCTCCTCTTCTCTTCTTCTCTCTTCTCTTCTCTTCTCTTCTCTTCTCTTCTCTTCTCTTCTCTCTCTTCTCTTCTCTTCTCTTCTCTTCTCTTCTCTTCTCTTCTCTTCTCTTCTCTTCTCTTCTCTTCTCTTCTCTTCTCTTCTCTTCTCTTCTCTTCTCTTCTTTCCTCTTTCATTAATCGCTTCGCTCATTCCGCCGGCCCGTATTGTGCCATCGCAGGCGTTTGCTTGCGCGTTCGTGGCCTCTTGGAGCCTCGGTGGGGCCGTTTGGGGCCTCTTGGCGCCTCTTTTTAGGCCTCTTGGAGAACTCGGGAGGCCTCCAGGGGGCCTCCTGAGCTCTCGTGACGGTCTCTTGGGGGGCTTTCGGCGGGCTCTTGGCGGTATTTGTTGGTCCTCTTGGGGCCTGGGGCCTGACGTTGTTGGTCCTCTTGGGGCCTCACGGGAGCTTATTGGGGCGTCTTGGGGGTGTCTTGGAGAGTCTCTTGGGGCCTCTTTCGGGGTCCTGGGCGCCTTCTGGGGCGGAGGGCTCGATTTTTCAGTTCTCGGTTCCCTTCTTGAGCCCCTCTTGGGCCCGTCTTGGGGCCTCTTGGTCCGCCTTGGGCAGCACTTGGGCCGTCTGGGGGGCGCTCTTGGGCCGCTCCGGGGCCGTCTTGGGAGCCTCGTGGGCCGTCTTGGAGCAGTCTTGAAGGCCTCTTGGGCCCTCTTGGAGCGTCCGGAAGCGAAAAGGCCAGAACGCAAAAAAACATCGAAAAAACCAATGAAAATCAACGATTTTGGCAACTTGGGGCCCTCTTCGGAGGCCTCTTGGAAGGCCCTTGGAGCGTCTTGGAGGCCTCTTGGGCTGTCTTGGGGCCATCTGGGGCGTCTTCGGGCGATCTTTGGCCGTCTCGGGCCTCTCTTGGACCGTCTAGAAAGCTTCTCGGGGCCCTCTTGGACCGATCTGGAGCCCTCTTGGACTCCGAAACAGAACTCCGGCATCTCTGACCCGACCTTGCCCTTGCCGGGGACTTGCCGGGACCTTGCCGGGGTACTTTTCGTCCGGGGACCCCCAGGGGCCGCCCCGCGCGCGCGAACTAGAAATACTGCTAACCAGGTACCGGAGATCTTAGCACGCCCTGGCCCGTTGGGCCGGCGAATTTTCTTTTCTTCTCTTCTCTTCTCTTCTCTCCTCCCCTCTCCTCTTCGTTTCTCTCCTCTCCTCTTCTTTTCTCTTCTCTCCTCTTCTTTTCTCGTCTCTTCTCTTCTCTTCTCTTCTCTTCTCTTCTTTTCTCTTCCCTTCCCTTCTCCTGTTCACATCAGGGCCGTGGGGCCAGCGCTCCTTGCAGAGGGGCCCCAGATATGTCCGGCAGTGCAGCAGCTGCCCCGGCACGTACCCTGTCTCGGACGGGGTCAGGACGAGGATCAATCCGTTCCAGAGCGTTCCGGAGCGCGCTCAGAGCGTCCGAACGCTCTGAGAGGCCGCGGCGCCCGAGACATCTTCCAGAGGCGCCGGATGTCAGAGATACTCGACTTATCCTTATCCGCTTTTGTCCTCGTCCTGGCTTCGTCTTTCTGTCGATGCAGGGGGCCGGTCGCACAGCTCGGCGACAGTTTGCTCGGCCCCCCCATGGAGCCCGTGCTTGCCGTGCGGTCTCTGCCCTTCCCCATCTCGTGTCGGACGAAAGGAGGGATCGGGGAACGGGGGGGGGGGCTGCTCGTGTCGGGCGACGATACCCACACATCTCCAACGCCCCTGGCCAGGTGCATCCTGGGCCCAGGAGCGGGGGGCTTGGCCAGGGAAGCGTATGCACCGCCCCTGGGCTGGGGGGGTGGGCCTGGCCGGGGGGCGGTGGATCTGTGTGCGCAGAGCTCGTCGCCCCATCGAGGTGGGCACGGAGCTCCAGAACTCTATGGGCCAGCAGCAGGCCGCGCAGCCGGAGGTGACGTCCTGAGGCCCCGGGTGGCCGGCGCCGCCCATGTGCGCCCCTCGCAGCGCCCGGCCTTCCATCACCTCCTCTCCTGTGTGCTGCCTCCCCGCCTCGGCCCGCCCCTCCCTCGGGTAACAGCGCATGGCACAACCGTGCACGTTCGACGGTCCACGCAGAACTCCCTGATCGGCGTGGGAGGCCCCTGGCGAAGTCGGCGCGCCAGGGGGGGGGCGGTCCAGTGCCGATCCCAGACATCCGAGCGGACCTCCGAAGGTTTATGTTTGTGCAGTTAGCTGTTCCCCATCTGCCCTCTCCCTCTCCCCTGAGATCCCTGGCGTCGCATCTTTTCCGCAGCGGGCGATGCGGCCCCTTGTCGGGCCCCAAGGCGCTTACAGGACGATCTGGCCCGCAAAGTACCGCAGAAAGATGGGGTCTAGGGCTCCGGCCGACTTGTGCTTACGATGTTGCATGTTTTTCGTGACGGGTCGCGCCCTGCTCCCACGGGTTGAGTATGTTGTTTTTGCTTACGATGTTGCGCCCTGCTCTCTGGGACATGCGTCGGAGGCCGAATAAGATCTGCGCTCCCCGGGCGAGGCGCCACGCGCGAGCGGTGGAGTCGGGCGAGCCCCAGGGGAGGGGGGAGGAGGGCGAGGAGTGCAGGCGGATCGTCCCCACGGCCTGGCCAAGCTAAGAGGAGGGGGAGGAGGAGGGGCCCGTGGCTCCGGTCGAGTGTTTTCTTTTCCGTCCAGTACGGCGGAGTCCGAGCTGGCGTCGCCCTGGTCCAGCACAGACCCCCTGGCCCATGCGCCTAAGCAGACACGCATCGACGCACGCTGACCCGCAGCCCGCAGTGCTCCCAGAACAGTGCGGGGCGCCCAGCCGCACCAGTGCAGCCTCCTCATCATCGTCTTCTGAGCCGCCCCGCGGCTCTTGACGTCACGCGCCAACCAGCCGGGCGGCGCGTGGCACACTCCCTTTCACTGTTCCTTTTGACCAGATTCGTACTAGTTAGGTGCTCTTGGCCGCGTGCTGTCCACCCTGGCTGCGTGCGGCTTTCTACGGCCTCGGCCGCTACTTGTGAACAGTGTCCGCACCGATTAGGTGCCCCTAGACCAGGCCCGCACGGTCCACTCCGACAGTGCGCGGCCCCACGGCCTTGGCCACAGTTTTGTTCAGGCACGCCCGTTCCTGCCCCTTGCTGGGCGGCCGCAGGGCGTGCTCCAGATACCCTGCCCCGCCACCCGGGGCAGCGCGCAGGCGTCCGCAGCAGCACCGTGCGCGGGCCGCCTGCCGCCTGGGCTGCCGCCCCGCCTGCGGGGACCTCCCGACAGGCGGGGCGCTCGTCCCCCTCGCCCCCTCTCCCTCCCCTTCCCCGCCGCTCTGCTTTCCCCCCCTCCTCCGCGCGCCGCCATGGCGCTCGCGAGGCTGCCACAGCGTGCAGCCTCCCCGTGTGACTGGGCACCTGGGCGTGGTCTTGCCGCCCGCACCCAGGATTTTGCTGGTTGCGGTCCAAGACTGGCCACCCACCTGGGTGGCCTTGCGGTCTATTTCCTGCCGTTCTGGTGCATCGCCTACTTCATCGGCAGCGTCACAGCAGTACTTGCTTTCCACGCACTGGGCCTTGTCATCGCCCTTGGGTGCCCCGGCGCCGCGGCCCGGCAGCTGCCATCGATCCTGCTGACGGGGCCGGCCGCGCCAGCACCCTCGGGAGATAATTCTTCCGCCGCTGAGTGGCCTCTTCGTCCCCCCCCCGCGGCCGCCTTGTTTGTCCTTTCCCCGCTCGTGCTATTTCGCCCCATCCTGCTGTTCTCTACTCTTTCGCCGATGACGTGGGGGGTTGCCTTTGCTGACCTCTGCGTGACTCTGCCTGTCATTCTTTCGTGGATGTCTCAGCAAGCACAAGTCGCAACTCTTTGTCTCAATCTTGACAAGTGTGTTCTGGTCGCCCCAGGGATTGGCGAGCCTGCGGTTATCATTGCAGGTTTCAAGCGTCTTGGGGTTATCTGTCTCGATTCCAGATCCGTCCGCGTGGCAAATATCTTGGAGTGCATCTCGGTCCCGGGGATATTGCGCCTCCTGGGATGGGCCTTGTCGTGAGCTACTGGAGCGCGCTGCGCACGTGCGGTCCCTCCATCTGTCTCTTGTGCGCAACCTTCATGCGCGCCTTATGCTCTCTCTCTCTCTCTCTTTTGCATGGCAGCTGTATCCTGCGACGCCGCATCTTCGGAAGACGGAGCGCACTGTCCTCCAGAGGCTTACTGCTGCCCCTCGCCGCGCTATTCCCAGCGAGCTTCTAAGGCGCATCGCGGGTATCGGGATTAAGTTCGAGCCCGAAAACCTGGAGTGTTCCGCGCGGGCCGCCATGTTTCGTGCTGCTGCAGGCTTTCGAGAGCTTGGTGGCGCCATGGGGCGCTGTCGTTGCATGTTTAGTAGAGTTCGGGACATGGATGTTGTGTTTCTTTCCTTGTTTTCTCGGTGGCGGGAGTCCTCCGTCACCTTTCCGATGATGCGCTGCTGGAGAGAGTTGACTGCTCTGGCTCCTCACCTACGAGATCCCGAAGAGGCAGGTGTCCAGAGGAAGATGCATCGTTTCCTGAAGTCTCGCTATCGTCCCCCCTCCCAGGTTCCTGTTCTTCTGAGGCGCGTGCGCTATTTCTGGCCTGAGCCCCACCCCCGTCGGTGATCGTGTTTTGCTTAATTTTTTCATTGCCAATAGTCAACTCGCCCCCTCCGTTGGAATAGCCTATTTGCGGACCGTGTGCAATGCGTGGCCGACCACCCGGAGATTCCGACAAGGGACGGACATCTGCCGCTTCGGCTGCTGCAGCTTGGGCGGCGACCAGGTGGGCCATTTATTTTCTTGCCCTGCGTTGTAGCCTTTGCTTCCTCGCGTCGTCCGTTCCCTACCCTCCTGCTTCCTTTTGCTATCCTCCTGTCAGCGTATGTTTGCCGTTCAGCTCCCAAACATGACCCCAGAATAGTTTCGCTCATCGATGCTAATTCATGATCTTATATATACCACTTTCAACTCGTTGCGTGCTGGAAATAGATGCGGCCCCAACGGAGTTCGGCATTTAATTGTCGCCCGAGCTAGAGTCCTCGCAGACGCCACACAAAACTGAGGGGTTTGCTGACCCGCTCGTGGGCCAGCGGGACGAGAAACACAACTGAAACGGGTGCTCCTCCTCCTCCTCCTCTTCCTCCTCCTCCCAATCCTCCTCCCCATCCTCCTCCTCCTCCTCCTCCTCCTCCTCCTCCTCCTCCTCCTCCTCCCCATCCTCCTCCCCATCCTCCTTCTCCTCCTTTTCTTTTTCCTCCTCTTCCTCCCCCTCCTCCTCCTCCTCCTCCTCCTCCTCCTCTTTTCCCTCCTCTTCGTCCTCCTCCTCTTCCTCCTCTTCCTCCTCCTCCTCCTCCTCTTCCTCCTCCCCCCCATTCTTTTCTTCGCAATCGGCCCCTGCCTTCCGAGAAAACTCCTGCCTTCGAAGGGCCCCCCTGCCTTTCAAGAAGGACTCCCCCGTCTCGCCACCCGTTCTATGCGCCCCGCCGGGCTCTGCCGAACCTCGACCCTCGAAGCTCGATTTTCGCTCCGCGATTCCAGGTCTTCGGCCCCGATCCTACATCCTCGAAGTTCGAGCCTCGACCCTCGAACCTTGGCCCTCGGGCCTCGAGCCTGGAGACTCGAGGGTCGAGGTTCGGTGGTTCGACCTTCGAGGGTGAAGCATCCAGGACGGAGGATCCGGCATCGAGCATTCGTCTCGCCATCTTCGGCCGCCGGAGGGCCGCTCCAGGCCCCGGGAGTGCTGGGAAGCGACCCAGGGGGAAAAACCGCGGGCTGGCCCTCAATCCTCGGTCCTCGAACCTCGACCTTCAACGTTCGACTCGATTTTCGACCCCCGACCCTCGATCCTCGGCCCTCGACGCCCCAAGCGTCGCTCATCGCAGCGGCCCCAGCCGCTGGGCTGCTCCTGCGCCTCGCTCCTCGCTGCTGCTCGCTCCTCGCAAGCGCTCGCTCCTCGCTCCTCCTCGTTCCTTTTCGCTCCTCCCGCTACTTCCCCTCGCTCCTCCTCCTCCTCGCTCCTCGCCGCACGGCCCTTCCCGCTGCGCCGCGTGGGCACCTCCCCAGAGCAGGGCCGCAGTGGCGCGCGGAGCGGAGCGGCGGCGCGTCCGCCATCTCCTCGCCTCTGAGGCGGGGGGCCCGAGAGAAGTCCGCCGGGGCCCGGCAGGTTTGCGTTCCTCTCTGGGGCGGGCGCGGCTCGATGATCGAGGGTCCTCGATCGTCGGTCGTCGGTCCTCGACCCTCGTGGAATTGGAAGCTCTAGTTCTCCTCGAGGGTCGGCAATCGAGAGGATCGAGGGTCGAGGGCTGATTGTCGAGGTTTAGGGATCGAGGATCGAGAGCCGACGCCTCGGAAGCGGAAGGCCCGAGAGAAGTCCACCGCCGTGGCGCGGCAGGTCCCAGCATCCCAATGATAAACGATAACAAGGATAGCAGCGGTAATTGCGTTATCAACGGTAACAGCGATATCAACGATATCAACCAGCACCATTGCAACAACAGTAACAACGATAACGCTGATCTGAATAATAACGATAGCACTTATAGTCATGATAACTTGGCTCAAGGCCAAAGGGCGCAAGTGCCCGCGCAAGTGCCCGCGCACAGGGCGCATTCAGGCTCTCTCCGCTCTCTCCGCGCTCGCCTTCTTCCCATGGCGGCGCGCTGCCGGGTTTGCATGGCACGCGGAGTGGACAGCCTCGCCCTGCCGGGCGAGGACGTCTGCGCGGCGCACCGGCCGTTCGGCATGGACTCCGCCGGGTTGGCGGCCGCGGACCCAGCCGCCGCTGCTCCAGCTGCCGTGGCGGAGAGCATGGACACTGACGACGACACGGAGGGGTCAGGCTTCACCCAGGCTGCAGAGGCGCTGCTGCTGGCTGAAGCCCCGGTTGCACCTGGACTTGATCCCCCAGCAGCTGCCGGAGCGCACCCCGCCGGCATCGCCGCTGCTGCTGCCGCCTCGCCTGCCGCGCTGCCGTCCGCAGGTCAGCAGTCTGGTTCTCCCCAGCTCCTCCTATCCGTACACGACTTCCAGGAGCTCCTTGAGGCGGAGGCCCTCCAGTACGTCGAGCTCGTCCAGGCGGGCAGGACGGCTTCCGAACAGCATCGTACCGCAGTGTCCTTCCCGGGAACTTGGCCGGACCTCAAGGCGATCCTGGGCAAACGGGCTGGACGACTCTGATCCTTGGGCGCAGCTGGGCTTCGGACCACTATGCGGCCCAGAACCTACGGAACGCGACATCCTGGCGAGGGCCCGTACTGCCCACCTCCTCTTGAGCCTCGGGGAAAGTGAGGCCTGGGCCGAGGCGGACTGGGTCCTGGCCAACCAGGCGGACGTGATGATCTCGGCGGCGGCAGCGCACTGCGAGGCTTGCCTGCCCGACGTCCGCATGGCTCGACGGCAGCTCCGCCCCGACCGCCTCCCGCAGTGGAAGGAGCTGGGAGGGGATGCATTAGCAGCTATCCGGGCCCTGCCGGGCGCGGAAGGGCACGACTTCCTCACGCAATGGTCACAGGTCCTCGACCCGCGGGGCCGCCACGCCCCCACGGTCGAGCGTCACCGTCGGCTGTCGGACCTCCTGGGGAAGGGCGACGCCCGCTTCCTCCAGGAGATGAGGGGTCAGCAATTGTTGGCCTGGGCGCCCGCCGACACTGGGGCGTTGCAGCGGATCTTGTCACAGTTTCTGCGACGTGCCTCTACGGAGGCATCGACATCGATGTTGCTGATCACGCCACTTCCCTCCTTTCCTGGGGCGGCTACGATGACACAGATACTCGACTTGTGGCACCACCCTGTGCTCGGGGAGAAGCACGCGGCGATCGTCCAGGCCATCCATCTTCTTCCACAGCCGTTGGAGTACATCCTCCCCGGACTGCGTGGACCTCGCCATGTTCGGCAAGGATTGGCTTGCTTCCGCATCGCGCGCACGGGCCCGCGGAGCCCCCCGGCGATTGTCTTATCTCGGACCCCACTCCTGAAGACTACTGGCTCCGACAGTGTCACCATCGACACTCCGTTGAACCTCCTGCCGACCCTCATGTCCAAGTTGGCCACCTTGGAGGAGTTCCGGAGCAGTCCGATTCGAGACCCCACGCGTAGCATTGGCAGCACGAGCGAGTCTCCCCGGACATCCGTGGAGCTACTCCTCCCACCAGCCCTATCGCAGCTTGGCAAGGAGCTCCTGGTCCGCAGGCTGCAGCGGCCGGTGCTTTCGCAAGGGATGCTTATCGGCCATCGGAGCTTGTACGTGGCAGAGGACGCCATGATCCTCGAGTGTCTCTCACCTGCGGTGATGCTGAAGGCCTGGCCGCTTTGCTCGGAGGCCCTTCCCGAACAAGCTCCTGGTGCGCACTGACGATTCCGCAGAAACTTGGACTCAGTTGATGGGCGGGCTCTGCCGAGAGGGGGAGCTTAGTCTCATCAAGAAACTCCGTTGGGAGTCGAGCCGGTTTGGCGGGGGACCCTATGCCCTCCCATCTGCTACCTCCGCGGCATTGGCAGCCTCGCGCCGCCGCAAAGGTAAGACCAAGGGAGCGCCCCAGGCCACGGACTACATGACCGAGATACGCATCAATGGCGACCCAGGGCTCCAGGATAAGGCCATCTTTGACAACCTCATGCGCCACGTCATGCAGAGCACGGGGATCAATCTGAAGGCCTTTGACGGCGACGAGACCACGCCGTCGGGCTTCTGGAAGCACTTGGACTCCTACGACCCCGCTTGCCCACCAGGCCGCGCCCGGCTGCACCTCGCCAACCACGCGGAGGTGGGGAAAGTGCACGAGGCACTCCACGGCCAGGTATTGCAGGTGGGCGACGACTGGCTGGCCATCTCGGTCCATAACGACCTCCTCGACGCCAGCACTCTGGAGGGAAACGGGCCGAGGGCGCCTCCGGCGGTCCCCGGGCGCCCGTAATCAGAGCGGACCGCGCATGCATGCCTGTTGGAATTCAAGTCTTTGAGTCTGGCGGATATTCTCGCTACGTGCTGGACCTCGTCATCTCCCTCCGCGACTCCCTTGGGCCGCCGGGCGAGGTGCGCCAGATTTCGGCGATTGGCGATGGGCCGCCCAGCTCTCAGAGGACCGCACGTGCGTCACCACCCTCACGCTGCCCCTCTCCTCCTTCGTTCGAGTACCTGCCGCATCACCCCCTGCCACGATTACGCCCACAGCTTCCTGCCCTACCACTCTGTCATCTTCATTGGCTGCACCCCTACAACGACAACACGGCCGTTCAGCTGCAACGAGACGTCCCCGTTCAGATCCTACGTCGGCAGGCCTTGTGGCGCGCTTTGCGTGGCACGCTGAGGGGCCATGCTGATCCGGGGACGACCTCGGTGACCAGCCCATTGGGCCCCACCTTCGGCGCGGGCTGGGCGGGCGGTCGGCCCCCCCCCACAGCAGGGCCAGTACCTCGGCAAGCTCTCCCTGACAATATGGAACACGCAGGCGCTGTTCGCCGCAGACGGTTTCCGCCACAGGGATAAGTCTCGACACGTGCACCGGCTCATGGCCACGCACGACGCGGGCGTCTGGTCCGAGAGCCATGGCACGGCCGACCGGGGCGCCCTCTGGCGCGAGCCTCCTGGCTGCACCTCGCGGTGGTCCCCAGGCCCCTCCTCCGGGACGGCTGGCGTTGGCATCGCTGTCAAGACGGATTTCCTCAAGCTGTTCGCACGCCAGGTCCACTTCGAGATTATATTCCCTGGCCGCGCGGCGGTGCTGCGCCTCGACGGGGGCCAAGGCTCGCTGGGCATCTACACGGTGTACTTCCACGCGGGGGACTCCACGCCTGCCGAGGACGTCGTGGAGGCCGGCGTCGACCCAGCCCAGCGCGCCCCCTCCAACTTCGAGCTCCGCGAGGCGTTGCGGCATCGGCTGGCCCGCCGCCTCCGTCCCCGCGAGGAGGCTTTAAGCATCCTTGGGGGGGATTTTAATCACGTACTCCGCCCGCCAGAGCGCGTCTGCATCTCCACGGGCGCAGCCGCGGGCCATCGGGGCCACCGCGACGCCACCAGCTGGCGCACCTTGGTAGAGGTCCCCTACGGCATCCACGAGCTCTACCAGCCGGAACGCACGTACGCGGCACCAGACACCAGAGCGCGGCTGGACCGCGTGTACTGCAACCAGTACGACGTCGAGTACCTCGACAAGGCTTGCGCCTGCACCGCCCTGGCATGGTGCCCCGAGTTGCCCCGCCACCGCCCACTCAGCTTCCGGAAGTGCCCCGCGCAGCCGCGCGCAGACCGACCGGCGCCCCTCGGGGACCAGGCCCTCGAGTATCCAGATTTCTCCCGGCAGGTCGCATTAGCTTGGCAGGAGCTCCTTCACAACAACCCCGACGCGCACGCCCTGACCCGGCTCCAGCTGCTGAAGCAGGCGATGCGCCAGGCGGAGCTGGCCCTGGCTTCCCAGGTGGGTTCCGCCCCCCCGGCGGAGCAGCTGGATGACCGCCCGGCGGAGCAGCTGGTTGACCGCATCGGCGTGTGCGTGAAATTCCTCGGGGCTTCGGAGGCCTGCAGTCCAGAACGTATTTCCCGATGCCTCGAGCGGTATCCGCTCTTGCGGGATATGGTCGCGAATCCTTACGACTTCGTCCCCGCCGGGCCCTCGGCTTGCGCGGGTGCGTACTCACGTGATGGAGTTGCAGCGGGATTTCACCATGCAGGAGCTGAACAAGCTGCACGAGGACCTCCGCGAGCTGGAGCCGGCCCAAGCAGCGCGCCGGCGGCGGCGGAACCAGCAGCTGGTCTGCAAGCTCGCGCCGGGCCGCAGCTGTCAGCACTTGGCGCTGGACGCGCCTACCGGGGAGGCGACGACGGACCCCGCGGAGATGCTCGGCATTCTTCGCGGACATTGGTCCGAGGTCTGCCGCCGGAAGGACATGGACACGTCCCTGCTGGACACTTGGTTGCGAGAAGATGCGCAGCACCTCCCAGCCGACTACACCGACCACCTGCCCCACCTCGCTGTGCCGCGTCGTGCATTCCGGCAGGCGATTCGCAAGTCGGGGAACTCCGCGCCGGGCCGGGATGGCATCCCCTTCGAAGCGTGGCGTAAGATAGTGGACGTAGCCGCCGACGCCTTCCACGAAGCGTTCGAGGCGATGATCGCCCCCACAGGGCTCGACATGGTCCAGGAGGCGTGGCGCGATCTCAACGAGAGTGTCATGGTATTCTTACCGAAGAAGCCCACTTCGACGCGAGCAGATGGCACCGCGGTCTACCCAGCAAGCAACATGCGGCCACTTAACCTTACCAATACCGACAACCGCATCCTCTGC